CGTTAAAAAATTTAATCATCAATATTTTCATTGCTGATATCGATTATTTCTCACATTTCAGATGTGGGTGCACGATGTAATTTTTTAAAGTGTTAAAAGAGCCCCTTTTATGAGAATGAATAAATTCATCTTTTTGCTTCTTATTTTTTCATTTTTCAGCACCTAAATTAAATTTGTTATTTTTTTAACACTCTTTATAGCCTATGAACTAAAAAATTATTGGCACATTTTAAAAATTTAGTTCACTATTACACATTTATTTTTTAAAATCTAGTTTGTCATTTTTTAAGGGCATGAAACTAGTATATAATATATATTATTAAACATATAATAGTCGAAAGCATAATTAAAATACCTCAATTCAGATGAGGAAATTTAACACCTAAGTTTATTGTCTATGGTGCAAACATTTTTTTATGTTGAAATAAAACTAATCATAATATCTAAAGAGTGCTTTTTAGGTGATTTCAAAAGCCAGATCAATTAATAAAATAAAGTTCTACCTAATTTTTATAAATTTATTATTTTTTACTTATAATTTACCTAGCATCTGGAATAAATAATAAATTTTAAGATTATAATATAAAAAAAAATTCCAATAACTTAAAAAATAAATGAAATTTCTTGTTTTAACAGGATATGGCTGGACATGCCAAGCCTTATTTTTTTAAAAAAAAATCATAAAATGATTAAACAATTTATAAATATTTTTCGAATTTGACATGATAAGAAACTGATGCAATTTTACCATTATGGGCTTTGTACAAAATGAATTTCTGGATTTCTTCCAAATATGGTCATTTTTTCCTTTTACTATTTTAGTAGATAAGGTTAATTTCTTTAAAAATATTAAATAAATTTGCATTTTTCATAAATTCAAACAAAAAAAATATTGGCGGCCATTAAAATCGTCAGATTTCTGCCGCCCGGGGCAGCTGCCAAGCTCACCAATGCCGTCGGCACGAACCTAAATATCCTAATTAGTATTAATTATCAATTCTACATAGAATAATAGATTTTCGGAATAAAATATTTATTATATATAATTTTATTAAAATATTAATTATATATAATTTTAATTAATATGCTTTGTATTTTAAGAGAAATGTCTCTCTAAGTTTTCATCTAGAAAAAAACATCTTTAGCTAAACTAAATAGTCTCTCAATGGGAGAACTAGATGAAATGAAATATTTAATCTTATTATAAGATGTCGATCGACGTCAATCATCATTTTAATTTTAAATATATGAATGAATGCAAGAGGCTAAAGGATTTGAGCATATTTAATTTTTTAAAATATAAACTTAAAATAACTTAATAAATAGCGCCTTTTAGCCATAACTTTACCGACTGCTACTCAAAAAAGTTTAGTCACTTTTGTAGCGTGCCACTTTCAATAGCAACGTTAACACTATTGTTCTATACATATTTCTGTCATGATAAAATTGAATTATTTTATCTAGTCCAGAACATTATTCAGATGGGATGTTTAAAATGACTTTCTTTTGATTAATGTAATAATTAAGTTTATTATTTAAGAGTTTTCAAAATTTATGAATTTTAAACAGAGTTGCATAGATACAAAATAATATATTGACCTATATATATCGGCAGCTTGCCAATTGATCGATACTAAATTCAACCAGTTGAACAATTTTTTGACAAAATTTCGCATTATATTTTTGGAAAATGATTTAAAATATTTTTGTTAAGTTTTTTTTTTAGTATAGACCATTTTTATTTTATTTAATAAAAGAATTTAAAAAGTAATCCCTTACTCACTTCCCCGTTTTTTCATATTTTTAAATGTTTGTTGTTACCTCTAGGATTATTTTAAAATTATATTACGTTGTACGAGATTTAAGTGTATATGCCCTCTTATCTTGTGGATACGACCGAGCTAGGCTAAGTATTTCTTATTTTCACCTACTTGGTTATTAAAGAAAAATTTGGGGAAAACTATAAGGAACCCTCTGCACGTTTGTAGGCAAGTACATGTACTTGTATGCCTATTAGTCCGAAGAATATTATTTAAAGGGGACTGATTTAAAAGAGAATGAAAAAAAACCACATTCATGATTTGTGTATATATTTATTGATCTCCAGGGAAGGGTTAATTTTAGCTTTAAATTATCTATGTTTAAATAAGTAAATTCTATTAGCTGAAAATATTGAACACTTCTCAGCACAGCATTGATCTTAGTAGTGTGAATAAATTGAAAGTCTAACTTGGTGTCTTCTGCCTGGTTGGCGCCTTTTAAAAAGAGAAACCAATCATATACGAAAAGAAAATCTCAAAATTTATAGTGCTTTAAAGCGTTAAAGTTACTTCTTTAGGGAAGGAGTAATTTCACTTTTAGGGAAAAATAACTTCAATATAATATAAATCTTAATAATTAATTAAAATTTTATTTTCATTTATACAAAATCAATTAAAAATAATATTTAATAAGTTTAAAAAAAAATTCGCACCAGTTGAACATGTCTTTAGGACATCGAAAACTGTGTTAAGTGCTAAATTTTTCTGCTTAGGCTATGATCTAAATATCAAAAATATAATTAATAATCTTAACTTTATCGAAAAAAGAGTAATAAGCAATATAAAATAATAACCTAAATCACTACCTTCAGCCTCATCGTGGCGGGGGAGTGGCAACGTCTTTTGGCGGCTAATGGAGGTCTAAAAGGTTCTCTGTGATCGGGGAATCTCCAATTTTTAATATATCAATTTTAAAAAACCCTACTATATTTTACTTTTCTTTAATTTAGCTTGCATAATTAAAAACACGTCTAAAAACCTTCTGAAATATGGGTTCATGATTTTGTTAAGATACTCTATGAAATCGTAGATTATAGACATTAGAGGAAATGAACACACCTTTATTTTATATTAATATTTATTATAAAATTAACGAATTGTCTAAAGCAATATTGAAATGATTAAAAAGTACTTATACATAATTATCAATATTTTATATTTTCTCATCTATATTAATTTTAATACATTCTGAGTATATGGTTAATTAAAAAAAAATTTTCAATATTAAATAGCTACTATTAAAATATGTATTTTTATATAAACTGTAAGAATTAATCTTTTTGGTATTAGTCAAAACATTAAATATTAATATTTATTTAAATAAGGACAGATCGAAATTATTATAAGAAATTTCAAATATTTTTTTAATTACACAATATATTAAAATGATTAGTTTATTATAGCGGGGAAAAAATTTAAGATTAATTATTAGCTAATTCTTCTAGTATATAAATGGAACATGCAGTAACATATTAATTGATATTATTGAGATAACTTAGCTCATTGGGAAATTATTCACACAACTAATTTGTGGTATGAGCTATGCTCAGTGTTGCGCAATAGGTTAATTTTAGCAAACTCCAAAATGATTTAGCTGAAAAACCGACTAAAACTAATTAATCAAAATTAAGCATTGGCTAGTCAGGGTTATATAATAAATATAAAAATGATTATATATAATTTTAATAAATATTAATTAAGGATAGGCTTATTTTACGTAACGCTGACGGACGATTAGTAAGCCGATGCCTAACTTTTAATTAATTAGTTTTAGCCAATTTTTCGACTAAGCCTAATTAGGCGTAGACGAGAATTTTAGCCAATTACGCAACAAGCTATGCATGCCTTAATCAACTATAGATTGTTAATAAACCTATTTATCCCAATAAGCAATTTAAAAAAAATTTTTATGAAATAAAATAGTAAAAAAACGTATATGAATGGTTTATACATATGATTAACAAATTTTGTCACGTTTAAAATAAATTTCAAAATTATCGTTTCGCCCAAGAAATTTATCATCAATTTTACATTGATACATTTTCATTGTAAATATATTGTCATTTTTCGGAACATTATCTAAAAAATTATATAATATTTTTCTCAAAAAAAAACTTTAAAATAAAACATAAATTAGACTATTAAGAACAAACCTTGCTCAAACAGAAAAAATCTAAACAAATAGAAGGAAAAGAAGATACTAGAATAGACGATTCATAAATTAGAACCTATTTGTAATGATATCTTATTTTATGATTTGTATGATATTTTGACACATGTAAGTATTTTATTATGGTTTGTTTATATATAAAAATTTATGTGTAATAAAAAAATTTGCAATAATTTTCATCATATTATATAATATGCAATATTTATAAGATTCGTCATATAACAATTAAAACATTTAGAGGGGAAAAAAATAAGACTGAAATAAAATTATACACTTGCTCTCTGATCAACAGGGTTTTCCAAGAAATTTTTAAACGATATTTCGAAAACTTCGGGGTTAGGTGGTGTTGATAAATAAATTTTGATGATAAAATCGACTAAAATGTAATGGCAATTTTTTTTAAAAATGAAAAAAAATTCATTATGATATAGTATTTTTACAAGCTCAAATATTATAATAGTCGTCATTTTAAATTTCATTTTAGTATTAATACTATATTAAAATTTTAATATGTTGTCAAGGAAAGTATTTAAAAATTTTGATCGAGCTTCATTTAAAAAAAATGCAATATCGTTTAAATATATTTTCCTTTAGCTTAATTATTTCTATCAGAGACCTACAGGCCGGCCCTAAGCTCGGGTATAAGGGCGGGGCCGTATTTTAATTTTTTCTAAATATGCAAGGGCCAGTTCTAAAAATATTTTTTTACATATCCGGGCCGGGCCATATATTTTAAATCGCTACTATTAGCTATAATTAAAAATAAATGTAATATATTTTTTAAAAATTAGGTTGGACCGAAGATTATTTTCAAAAAAAAACCTAGGCCAGGCTGAAAAATAATTTTAAAAAGTCTGGACCGTGCAAATGGTACCTCTGTAGGTCTGATTTCTATAAAGGGCTTTAATATCCGTCATCTGACTCAAAATATCTGACTGACGATATTTAAGTGATGATTTTTTTAAAAATCTTTCATTAAATTTATTATACAACAAATAAAAATTACATACCAGGATCAATGGTATTAGGCTTATGAGACATGAGAGTGTCAACTAACGTTTCAAAATTTTGAACAATTTGTTCTAACGGCATTCCAATCTTTGTATAAATAAATTTTGAACATTTTTTTATTATATATTTAATGCAATCAATTAATTTGATATTTTTAATTATTTAATATAAATTGATTAAAAAGGGTAAAGTAATGAATAAATTAGTAAAATTAAATAAAATTGATGAATATGTGATTTCAGAGTTTCAACATGTACAATTATCAACAAAAGAATTTTAAATATTATATTTACGTAACTAATTTTAAAATGCATTCAATCACCAATTCATTAGAAAAACTTTATTATTTAATTATAAGTAGTAGGGTTGTTTAAAAAAAGCTTAATTTAGTTGATTTAAAAAAAAACTGATAAATCAAGATTTTCATTACCTAAGCCTAAAAAATTTGCCAAAGTTAGGTCCTCTTTTGATGAAACCTCGAGGCTTAAATAATTATTTTGAATAAAACCTTTATAAAAGTGTTTTTTTTAAAAAAAATCTATGGCTTTAGCACTAATTTATAGTGATTTAAAATAAATAATTAAACATAGAGTAATTATATAAATTAAATCAATCTTAAATATATGTTTTATTTACTTTGGCTAACATACATTCCAAAAGTGCTTTGTGTACTATTTCACTATCATTGCTGCCTACAGTGGAAAGATTATTTTCAACAATTTCGGTTTTGTAGGTAACACTTTTAGAGAACTTTTTAACCATACCACATAAATCAGTGTCAACAGAACCCTTAGATGTGTTTGGAAAACTATTACGCAAAATGCCTCTGAGACTAATTATTTCAGGTAAAATTTCTGGTGTACATATGACATGGTCAAAATCAGTTCTCTTAATAGTTCCTTTGATAATTTTTTTGACAAGCTCTTTGCCACCTATAAAATAAAATGTTGAAAATGAATAAATCAGATTAAATAAATAGAGCATTTTAAGAAGCAAAATAATTGTTCTTCCATTTGGAAAAAAATTATCAAATTTTAAAATGTAAATATTGATTTAATAAATATTGTGCAATATATAATATTGAAAACTAACTTCCATATATCAGATGCTAGTACTTAAAATCTAGTAATGGAATTTAAAACAATATTTCTATATAAAGGGGCAGAAAAGAGTGAATGTAAGAGTTGGGTAAAAATATCCTGAAGATGTAATATCTCAAAAGTTGTTATAAAAAAAACTGAATTAGATATGCTCAATATCTGAAATTTAACAGTAGATATCTAATAATACTTCAAAATTGAAGTGTTTGTGTTTTTTTTAAATATGCATTTTAAATGAGATGGTACAAATTGATTAATGTTGTGTTAAACATCTAATATCAAGTTTACAATTTGTTACAGGATAACAGTGTTAGAAAAAGGAACAAAGCAGATATTTAAGTAGAAATTAGTATAAAATTAATATAAGAATAAATTTCATATGCTTTTTTATTTCATCCAATATAAATTATAGCTTAGTTAGTACACACCATACCAATTCCTAGGCCCATTTTTTTCCGCTAACCCAAAACTAAAATTATATTCATAAGGCACTTGGTTTTGGCTAGTAAATTGCATACACCTCAAATTAAAATTTTCTTATAAATTGTTACATTAATAAATCAATTTAAAACCAGTTATCAAAGCACCAGCTTCAGAGGCCATTTCTTGCTCAGATAGTTTGTGTGCAAAGGCCAAAATACGATTGTTAAATTTCATAGGAAAGTCAAATGGATTTTTATATAACAATATTCCTGAAAATGGAGTCAATGGTTTGTTCTAAATAGGCCTTGATTAAATATTATTGCATAAAAAACAAACTTTTTTTGATGTATTCATATTTAATAACATTTTAATATAAAATAAACCATCAAGATTGTCATATATGGCAGGGCTTGCAACATCTTTATGTGCTATAATGGCCTCTTTTAGGTCATATAACTTGGGTAGAAATTTTTCTAATAAATAAATGTTATCTGTTGGTTTTCTTTTGCAGTATTCTTCATAGTCTAATGAATTAATGGGTAAATTATCATCAATTATAACACTATTGATAAATATTTTTTAAGCAAATTAAATTAACATACTTTTTTTTCTTGACGTTGAAAGTCTTTTCTTTAATCACTTTATCAGTGTTTTCTGCTTTAGGTGCCTTTTTCTTTCTGTTTGCATTTGTTCTACCTCTATATCCTCGTTTAGCCCCTCTTTGGCTTTGGATTAATGGAGTCCATAAATTAATCCTATCAATATCACTATATACTAAAATGGCTAATAATAAGATGATAAAAATAAAAAGATCACGAATATTTTACGATTAAAGTTTTTTTGCAAAACATATGAAGTTATTTTTTGAAATATAGACATATGGATTGATGATCAAATATTTAAAAAGTGGGTTAGTGCTACACCATGCCTGCAATGATCAAATTTTGATTGATTGAAATTGATAAGTAGGTAACTTTTATATTCAATCTATGATGTATAATATTGTTTTTAATATAATCTGACCCTAGTTATGGAAAAATAATTTTTAGAAAATCTAGCGATTATCACGGATACTGTCATATAAATATTATTTTATATAGAAAACACCAATATTTAATAAAATAAAAAATATAATCAATGTCTTAAAAAACAATAAATATTTTATTTATATAATAAACCTTTTATTTTAATTGATGAATAGATTGGATGATTATTTTTCTATATTTAGGTGAATGATCCAAGCAAAACTTCTGGTAAGTTTTTATGATTAAGTGTCACTGTATGATCTTATTTATAGTGCTAATAAATTTATTTAATACTGATGATTGCATCTAGATGTTTTGTAGTGTGCGATATTCTTTCTTTGTTTAATTATACGCCCTAAAATTTCTATCTCTTCCGCATAAAATTTACATTTGTCAAAATTTTATAATTCCATTGTCCATTAATAATGTTAATGCCGCTCGTAATTTGGCTCTTTTACTTTAAGGTTTGGTTATAAGGTCTGTAATGGGGGTCATTTAGCCTTGAATGGTGGTGATTTAGTCTAGTGATGATTTCGCTTCAAATAGTGACGTTAGCATAAGAAAAACTGGCAGACTTATCCAATGTTAAATTTGATAAATTAGATGGAAAGAGTTAAATATCCCGTTATAACTACTTTGAACCAGATAAATATAATTATGCTAAATCCGAATTTAAAAATAATCGGTTTTTCAAGCATAAAGTCTTTCTAATGGTTTCTCTACTGAGAATAATCTCTCACATGACGCCGATGATCCCTGAATGAACGAAATATGTAGGCATTTTTGACAACAAGGGATAATGTTCCCCATACAATCTCCACCATTCTAATGGGCAAAAAAAATGATGATAATAATAATTTTAAACATCCATTTAAAACGGATATTGATAATGGGCTATAATAAAGCCAAATATAATAATATGTTTGATAAAGGATGTAATAAAGCCAAATAAAATTATACTTTTGATAAAGATTGTAATAAAATAAAATAAAATGTTATATAAATGTGAGTCATAACAGGGAAGAAAGATAGCAAGTCACAAATGCGACGTTTAACTATCCAGTTTATTATAAATCAACTAACTTCAATTATATAATAGTGTCATCAAGTGATTCTATTCATAATTATGAAAGGTTTAATAAAATCGAAAGAATCGAGAAAAGCTAACTGCAGCTAATGGGTTGGATGTTGAATTCAATTTTGTCATTGATGTGCTTGCGTCATTGATCAAGTTGATATATGGACATGTATTGTTGGACAACCAAAAATTAAACCAACTTGTCCATTTATCGCGTATGGTGTCCATCCGTTAGATGTGGATTGATGTATATTTCATATATATATTGTATGTGATTTATATTTCATATATATATATTGTATATTTTATATATATTTAAACTATTATTCTTAAATGATTGATAGATGTCAATCATTGTAAATATATTTTTAGTTAGTAATAATATTGATTTTTGTTTATATTGATTTTTATATGATAATCGGCGCAGAAGGTTTTGTAATAACAAAGAAACGAATGTTTTGTATTCATTAATATAATTATGACAATATATGATAAAAATTATTGTGATATATAAATTTTTGTAGAAATTATGGAAATAAAGTAGAATAAATAGCAAGTATTATTAAATTTTAAAGAGAAGCAATTGAGAATTAATATATTAAGGAATATATATATAATCGGAGAGATTAAATATATATATTAATAAATATTAATATAGAGTTATTTTAGAGTTATATAAATTAAAAAGTTATAAATATTTTATTGGTGCAGTGGTACCAGGATTCGTTAACACTTATTAGGGAAAAAATAAGTTTGAGAAAAATATAAAAATTGAAATATTTAGAGAAAAAAATAAAACAAGAGAGTTTTATAAAAATAAATTTCAGACGTTATTAAGCAAGAAAAATATTTTCTAGGACCGGGTTCCTCAAAATAATAGTGGATTCTGGATATTTAAAAGTAAGAAAATTTTTTTTATTTGATTTTTAAATTACACAACGCAATAGTAGGATTTTTGGATTAAAATTAGAAATATATATAAGATAAAATTTTAAATTTTGGATAATTAATGAAAAAATGGCTTTTATAAAATGTCAAATTTTAAGAGTAATTTTAATAAAATATTTAATTCGAATTTTAATAAAGTGGATATGACTAATAATGTCATTACTGCATTAATTATTTTTGTGTTTTATATAATCTTAATTATAATGAAACGATTAATAAGGAAAATAAAAAGAAGATCTCTTAAAAATAGAGAAATTGATATAAAAAAATACAAATACCGAAAATTTAATTCCTAAAGTTTTGGTGAAATCTCCAGGTATTAATGAAGATATAAAAAATAGTTTACATATAATTTTGTTAGAATTAAAAAATTTAAATGTTAAAAAAAATGTTGAAGAAAAAAATGATAAAAATTTAGATACGGGTGACGTATTTAAATTTCTTCAAAACATTGAAATATCGGAGGATATCAATAAAAAAATAGATTCAATTGTGATTGAATTTAAAGAGAAAATTTCTGAGGTTTTAAGTAAAAAGCCAGAAGAAATTTTGAAAAATAATAAAACAGATAATACTTTGAGACAAAGTACCGAGGAATCTATAATTTTAAGTGAAATTAGAGAAATGAAAGAAAATATGAAAAATTTATCCAGAGATGTTTCCAACTTAAAAATCAAAAATAATAATGTGATTGAAAGTTGTGAATTTTGTGGAAAAAAAGGACATATTGGTAAAAATTGTTATTCAAGAGACCGAAAAACTAATGAAAATGTGACTGCAAAACCAAGTGAAAAAAATGACATAGTGTGTCATAGATGTGGTTTTGTAGGACATATAAAAAGAAATTGCATGGTGAAAGAAGCCAATTTCAAAAGTGGTTTTCCGCAAAGAACCTCGGTAGTGTTACAACCGGTGGTTAGAAATATACAGAGTCCTATTATAAAAAATGTAGATAAAATGGAGATATCTAATACAGATTATGATAGAATGTGTTTCAAATGTGAAGAAATGGGACACATTGCTATCCATTGTATCCAAGTGTGAGTGGGTCACAGTGTCTATATGATTTGAAAGAGAATCATATAAAAATAGATAAATTAATTTTTGAAAATATTAAATTTTGTGGATATATATATTAAAATAGATAATCATCATGGGAATGAGGATTATACATTGAAATTTAACTCTAATAAAAAGAGTTGTAATGTTGGGAATTTTTATTGTCATTTTGATGAAATAAAGAATTTTAAATTAGACAGTAATCTGAATAAAAAGGATTATTGTAATCAAATGAGTGATATATATCCAGGGGAAATTTTAAATAAAACCATAAATGAAATTCAGAGACTTTTAAATTCTGAGAAGAATTTAGGTATGAATATCAATTATATTGACAATGAGATTAAAATAAATGTCATTCAGCCCATTAAAATGTCTAAAAATTTAATAACTGAGGGAGCAAAGGAACAGAGTTCATGTCCTCATATTAATTTAAAATTTGGTGGACAAATGGTTGAAATGTTATTTGATACCGGGGCAAGTATTTCAATAATGTCTAGTGAAAATTTTTATAAATATTGGCCGAATGGTATTGTTGAGAGACAAAATATGTGTATAAAACAATTTGATGGATCTGAAATCAAAGTTTTGGGTAGAACTCAGTGGGATGTTATTTTCCATGATATTCCTATAATTTTAGATTTATGGATAATGAATAAAAATGTTGAATTATTTTTGGGTAGAAGAACCAGATTACCTTTAGATTTTCTTAAGTCAAAAGAGATTGACAATATATTATCTTATGGTAAAAGCAATATAAAATTCACTGTGGGTCAAATTATTTGGGGAAGACTTTTTGACCATAAAAAAAATGGGAGAAAGGTTGTGTTATTGAGAATATTGGGAATAAATTGTGAAACATAAGATTTGATGATAGTACTGTGGGGGTACGTCATAATGATTTTATTAGTGTTTATAATAAAGATAAATAGTTAGTCCATAAAAACCGGAATGGTTAGTTCCTATAAAATTTTTGGGACAAAACTATTTCTTGTAAGTCATAATAATTTATTAGAGTATATAATAAAGAAGATAAATATTCAGTTCCTAAAAACCGGAAGGTTAGTTCCTATAAATTTTTAGGACAAATTTATTTTTATATTTAAATAATGTTAAAGATAAATTTTTATCAATAAATAACAATGAGAATATGCTTAATTGGGATTAGTGGATGTCTATCTCATTTAATAAATATTTTTGTAATTCAATAATTTTAAGAGTAAATTTATATGAATACATAGAAATAAAAAATTCTTAAGTAGGATTAGTTAATATTGGTCTCAGTTAGTAAATATTAATACAAGGCTATGACCATGTTAATAAAAGAATTTGTTTCTTTTTGTGGAAGAAAAATAAAAGGCAATGTGAGCCAGTTATTCCATGTAAAATTAATCATGATAATGATAAAATTATCAAAAATATACACTTGTGGCAGGCGCGTACGCAGGAATTTGGTCTGGGGAGGGATAATAAATTTTTTAAGAAATAATATTTTTAATTAAAAATACTAAGCATAAATTTATTAGGATTAATAACTTTTCTAATACACAATTTTAAACTAATGTGAATTAAAAAAATTATATATATAAACCGGCATTTAAATGTGAATCATAAAATATAAAGTGAATATAACCCACGATATGAATCACTTAAATGACCCAAAATTGAAATTTGAATTTTTTGAGCTTTTAAAATATATAAAGTATAAAAAATTTAAATGTTGTAAATATAAATTAATACACAAAAAGTTTCTTAGGAATAATTGTATTTTGTA